TTCAAATGTTAATAATCTGCCCAGGGGCCACAGACCAAGCAGTCTGTGAGGCTGATTTTAAACCCAGGTTTGCTGGACTGCAAAACTCATACTCATGTGACTGCTGTCCATGCTGGAAGGAGTGTTTCTGGACCAGGGACCTTTGGAATATGTTCCTTAGAAATCCAGAATAGAAGTATACCACCAATTTTGTGGTTTCTGGGCCACTTCCTGCAAATTGACAGTGTCAGACAAGGTACCAAGGATGTCTGTATGCTCTGTTTCTACACATAGGGAGGCAAGCATTTTTTCCTTAACAAGTGATTTGTTTTCCATCGAAAGAATCCTTGTTCTCACAGCCACTTTCTTTCCAAAGCTTAGAACACCACATGCTCTTTTGAAGGTAGTGGAGATTTCAGAAACAAAATGTTTTTGGCTGCCCCTCCCCCTTTGAAGCAAAGTTCAAAACATCTGCTTCTATTTCATCTGTTAGCCTTTTGGAGAAAGGCAAATTTGTGATAAATAAGCAAAATTTCTTCCTGAACCAAAAGCCCAGTACCTAGTGATCTAAAAAGACGTTTTTGTTTGTTTAAATGTTGTTGAAGTGATAGAAAACCTATAAAAACACCCAAGATTAAGATAAAGTTAATAAAAACCAAATTTTCAGAGATCAGCTATTAAACACTATAGTAGAGTATTTCCTTCCGCTGGGATCTGAACTGGTTTTGAAAACTGAGCATTTATTGGGGAGGCAATTAACAGGATCATAGCAAAGTTTCCACAGAACACTAACAAAGTCTGGAGTTTATTCCAGATCTCTGCCTGTAGGGAAAAGAAACAGCCAAAAGAGAGAAAACAAACCTCTTGTGGACAAATTAAACTCTTGTGGGCATTCATGCTACAATGGACAGTGACAAGTCAAATATGTTTTGACTAAGATCAGTCTCTTGTGCATAAGTGCACTGGTGTTGAACAATACATTTCACCATCTGAATCTCAATATGTATTTTCTTGTATGCTTATTTTAGAGGATTTTTTTTTTTTGGCCTGTGGTAGAATTTACAAACAATGAAATGACCATCTACAATATACAGTCAGTGAGTGCTAATAAATGCAAACAGCTGTGTACTCAAACCCTTGTCAAAATATAGAGCATATCCATTATCCATGGGCAGTTACCTTAGTAAATTAGGTTTGGGGCCTTAAATGGAATCATATGAAGCTTCTTGTGAAGGATAATGCCTTTGACTCAGCATAATGCCTTCATTTATTATCATCCATGTCATATGTCAGCAGTCTCTTCCTTTTTCTCACTGAGTAGTATTCCATTATATAATTAGTCTCCAGTTTGCATTTTCCTGTAGATTCTTTTCTATTTAATGGGTGTTTTGCTATCTATTTTTCTATTGAGGGACACTTGTTTACTTTTAGTTTTTGTCCAAAGTTGGTAAGAATATTCTTTTGCAACTATTTTTGTGGATAATTCATTTCTCTTGACTAAATGTGTATGAATTGGATTGCTGAGTCATAGGGAAGGTATGTGTTTAGTTTGATAAGAAACTGTCAGGCTTTTTTCTAGAATGGTTGGACCACTTTATACTTTCACTGTCATATGAGGACAGACCTTGATGCCATTGACTGTTAATAGTAGCATCTCCTTTTTGTTTTATTATGTGTTTCTGTCATGACGAATGACCTTGAGTGCTCATTAGTGCTTCCTGGCCACTGTCTATCTACCATTGTGAAATGACCATTTTTAAATGTTTGGTGATCTTTCTATTATTGACTCAGTGGTGTTATTTATATATCTTCATACAAGATACAGATGAGATCTCCCCGTTCCTTTGGAGAGTGGGATCCCAGTTTCTTGATGTTTTTATCTTCATACCCCCCACCCCCCTACCCCCAAATGATACCAGGGATTCTGTTTAGTTCAATACTATAGTCAAGTGCCTGGAATGGCCCTTGGAACATAGCTCATTTATATAAACGTTGAGGGAATGAGTCAATGAATGATGAATAAATGACTTTTGGTCTGCTACCCAGACAAGGTGTTCTTTAAATTAATGATAGTGATTAACAAGGAAATAGAAGACAAGAAATCTTAATGTTACCTTTGAGTGATAAAGTATACTTGGCTCCAAAGACTCAGGATTTAATAAGGGGATTTGTTCACTTAGTGGAAACACAGATAGAATGTCTCAGACTAGCCGCAAGTTCCCATTTTTGAACCTTCTAACGTCAGCCACTTCTGTCTAGTGTGCCTCATTCTGCCTCTATATTCAGATCCTCCCAAGTCTTGAATTCTCATGAGCTTTGCTTGGTGTGTGATCACAGACTCTAACTTCAGAGGATTTTAGCTAATTGACCCAGCTGGTTTCAGCTTTCAACACCTCCTTCCTTGTTCCCTGCTAATGCCAGTCCCTGCCTGCATCAGCTCTGTGCCTTCCTAGCAGGCCACCAGCAGATGTTCTGAGTCCCCCAGGGCCAAAACTGGGCTCCTCCCCCGTGACTTGAAATCATTGCACTGGTCCTAACCCAACAAGCTCCAGCCTTTCCTGTTTGAAAATATAAACTGGGCCCTCCTTGGTGGCACAACAGGTTAAAGCACAGCACTGTGAAGCTGTCACAGCCACTGCAGCCACAAGTTCAATCTCCAGCAAGGGAGGTGACCCACATGGTGTGGCAGACCTCTCCTGACCTGCCCGCTGCTCCCCTCAGCAGTGTTTTTCAGTACACCTGCCTGTTCTGCTTCCCACTCTCTCTGGTGAATCCTCTCACACCCCCACCTCTGGCCTGTACCCCAGTTCTATATGCATAAATAAATAAATCTTTTAAAAAATGTATAAACATTCACATTGGTAGAAATCTTACCATTCACAGAGTATGTTCACATCTATTTTTCATATAAGCTTTTTTTTAATCCCCAAAGGAGGAGGCATAAAGAAGCGATTTAATCTGCTCCAGAATATATCAGTTACCCTCACGTGGTCCAGAGTTTTCTAAGACTTCCTGGTCTTGCTCAATGAATATTGATGCTTTCTTAGCTCTGGTGGGTGTGTATGTGTGGTGCTTGAGACTCCACAGATTTTTTATAGTTCAGCAACTTGGATTACATCTGTTGTTAGAAGAAATTCAGTTACCACACCAAGGACATGTTTGGGTAACTCCCAACCTTTTTACTTAACCACTTTTATGGGTTCTCCCTACTCCACCCTTCTTGGGTCTTGTGTTGTTTAAAAAAATGTTCACCAGGCCCTCCTTGGTGGCGCAGCAGGTTAAAGCACAGCACTAAGAAGCGAAAGCCACTTCAGTATGAGTTCAATCCCTGCCCCAGAGGTGACCACATGGCGCGGCAGACCTCTCCTGACCTGCCCGCTGCTCCTCTCAGCAGTGTACTTTTGTCAGCCTGTATGTTGTGTTCCTCACTCTGTCTTTGGCGAATCCTCTCTCTGCCCCTGCACCTCTGGCCTGTATCCCAGTTCGGTATGCATAAATAAATAAACCTTAAAAAAACTGTCCACTGGCCCTCCCTTGTGGCGCAGCGAGTTAAAGCACAGCACTAAGAAGCTTCTGCATGAGTTCGATTCCCGCCTGCCCCGGAGGTGACCACATGGCGTGGCAGACCTCTCCTGACCCGCCCACTGCTCCCCTCAGCTGTGTACTTCATTGATCTGCCTGTTCTGCTCCCCACTCTGTCTCTGGTGAATCCTCTCACCCTTCACATCTCTGGCCTGTACCCCAGTTCTATATGAATAAATAAATCTTTAAAAAAAAAATGTCCACCAAAAAGCTGCATTTATTAGCTCATTTTACTGTTTTTATTTATCATACATGTATCATCCAATCAGCTTATGGCCAGATTATCTGTACTTCTCTGAGCTGCTTTTATTACAGTCAAAATAAAGACTTGAGGTTTGAATTAGTTTCTGAGACTAACAGGTGTATTTCTATTGCTGCAGGACTTTTTGGAAGACCATGATGTCTGGGTGGGGAATGAGAAGGGTTTTACTTCCTTTAACTCTTTCCTCTTTGATCAGGATTTCTCCCTGGCTCTTTGGAAAGTGAAGTTCAACCAGCCTCACCCCAGTATTTCCTCAGCAGCTGGAGTTTTTGGATTGTCTTTACTCCATGTCCATAGGACTCTGGGGAGAACATGCTTTCATAGAATCAAAGACATCTCCCTCACCTTTACCAAAAGATGCACATTCTAAAATATCATAGAACCAGAACTTTTACAATATATCGAGAACTACATCATTTAAATTATACTTTCAAAAGCTCCGTGATCAGTATTCTGAAAGCAATGTCTCTTTGGGCCTCCCTGGTAGCTGAGGGTTAAAGCACAGCACTGTGAAGCTATTGCAGCCACTGTAGCATGAGTTCGATCTCCAGCCAGGGAGGTGACCCATATGATTTGGCAGACCTCTCCTGTCTCTCCCACTACTCCCCTCAACAGTGTATTTCAGTCAATCAACCTGTTCTGCTCCCCACTTTCTCTCTGGTGAATCCTCTCATCCTTTGTACCTCTGACCTATACACCATTTCTTGTATGCATAAATAACTGAAATAAACCTTTGGAAAAGGAAAAGAAAAGGGAAAAAGCAGTGTCTGTTCATAAATTGAAGTGGGAGGTGTCAGACTGACTTGTTGAAGTTGAGACAGAACATACAGATTAACAGTTTCAGGGAACAGCTGATACGGCTGTCAAGGCCAGGAGCTAATTCATGCTTTCCCTGCTTCTTGTACCTCTTGCTCTAAGTCAATAAATGCCCTATAACTTAATTGTTGGGGGCTTAGACTTTGGAACAGATTCTCCTCTGAGCCCGCCAGTGTAAAAAAAGAACTTTCCTCCACTCTGAGTGCTGGAACAAAATTAGTGGATTAATAACTATAACCCTGTAGCCAGCTAGATAGGAGGTTTCTGTTAGGGAAGGTAATGAGTATAATGTTATCTTAGTATATTTATATTATGCTTAATATTGTATTAATCAAATATTATGCTTGGTCTTGTTTTGTAGGAGAACCAGCAAAAATCCACCAATGTCGTCTATCAGGCCCACCACGTGAGCAGGAACAAGAGAGGACAGGTGGTTGGAACAAGGGGAGGGTTCCGAGGATGCACTGTGTGGCTCACAGGTATGCCATGCTGCTATGACTCAATTAACTTGTTACACACAATATTTATTTTTTTCCCTTTGTTTAGCTTAATATTAGGAGGAGACTGAGAGTTGTAGTTGAAACCTAATTGTGAGAAGTAGAACTTTTAAGTCACAGAATTTTTAAAATTTTCTCCTCTTTGACCAGAAAGGAAAGAAGGAGTCATTTATGATATTCCCTTCACTTCAGGAATTCCATAGGTTTCAATTTTGTGCCTAAACACACTTGGTGTCAGTTCTCAATGGGACATCTCCAATTTGATGTCAAGGTGTAACTGCCCATAAAGTTTTCAATATTTAGAGATATTCTTTGTTGTTTTCTATTTAACATACTAAGAGCACTTAGTTTAAAAAGTCATTAAAATCTGTGCCAAAAGGAGGCCCTCTCTGGTGGTGCACCAGGTTAAAACGTAGAACTATGAAGCTATCTACAGCACTGTAGCACAAGTTCAATCCCTGGCCAAAGAAAAGACCTCTCCTGTCTCACCCACTGCTCCCCTCCTCAGTGTATTTCTGTTGGTCTGCCTGTTTTGCTCCCCTATCTGTCTCTGGTGAACCCTTTCACCTGCTGTACCTCTAGCCTGTACCCCAGTTCTTATATGCATAAATAAACAAATCTTTTTCTTTTTAAATCGGTGCAAAAAGAAAAACTAGTAATTTCTGGTTTGCCAAGAATAGCCACACATTTATTGAAATAACCCACCCACCCAATTGAGGTCACCAAACAACTTCCCTTTTCTTCTGTTTTTATGGTCACAGAATGTCAAAGCTGGTAGCTCTCCTGTCCACCTGTGACCATGCAGGTGCCTCTCTTTATCCTAATAAACCTGTCCTTTCAAAAAGAAAAAGAAATGTCAAAGCTACAGTTGAGTAACAGAACTCCTGGAATTAGTACGGAGCTGTTACCTTATACTCTGAGTACAAGTAGAGGAAATTTAAGACTATATTCTGACATAGTCGGTTTATTTTATAGCTATGTTAGTCTCAAATAGAGATGCAAAGATATGTTTATCTGGGTTATGAAATCAACTTACATGTGACCATCTGCTCCTAAATGCTGATTTATTCTAACCTGATGAAATTCTAAGGAATTTGAAAATCAGGGACCTGCCTTACATCTTTTCTTGCTATTCTGAGTCTTTCCTGTCCCTGGCTAAATCAGTCTCATTCTTCTTTTTCAACTTTTTCCCTAGTGCCTGTGATACTTTCATTTTTTGGTTTCATTCAACGGATTCAACTTCTTCCAGCTTCCGGTGTGAGGACAGTGGCAAGGAGCACACAGCGCCCACCTGACATGGTTCCTGAAATGTCCCCCACCCTCACCTCAAATCCCGAGAGGTGAAGTGTAGCAACAGATCAAGTACAGCGTACTCCAGAACTTTCTTTCTTGTTACGTGTATGTTGATGAGACAGTGGCTTTGTTTGTATATACATACACATACACACAGAGTCCTTTTTTTCTAATGTGGAACATGCTTGAAAAAAGAACTGGTCAAAGAGGAAAAAAAACTAAATGGCTACTTCCTTTTTTCTTACTCTTAACAAATCACCTTCTCTTACTTAATTTTTTTATTCTCATATTATAGAGGTAGGACATTGACCAGATAGACTAGAGCTCTTTGTTGTTTCCTCTAGACTAGAGGAATGCATCTTTGTTCAGGACACCTCTCTATCTTCATTAGGTTGAGGGTCACTTTGGAAAAAGCTCAGAAACATAACAGCAGTGTGTGGGCTCTGTGATTCCATGGCTCTTGAGCAACATCTAGCCGATTGGTGAGCCTCTCTGTCCCCATGGGCTACTGGTCCCCTCCAACCCAGCTGTCATGAGTGCTGTGACAACATTGTCGCCAGATTTCCTAACATTTTTCAAGAAAACCCAGAATCTGGACTTGTATGTACAACTTTCTAATCTTCAAAACACTTTGGCATATAAAATCAAGCACACCAGGACTGTTGATAGCTCTCAGTTACCCTCATATAGGAGCCCCAATTACTTTGAAAGGCCATAATCCTAATAAGGACAACATGTTATTTGGGGACTTGAAAGAAATGCAAGTAGTTATCTGGTAGTAAACTATATCTGATTTAAAGTCTCATGGTTTTGACTTGAGATTATACTTAAATAAGGTAAAAATTAGGATCCAGTCATAATTTACCATCAGACAATGTCTGCTTTGTCTTGCTTATTCTGAACAGGTCTTTCTGGTGCTGGAAAGACAACAGTAAGTTTTGCTCTGGAAGAATATCTGGTCTCCCATGCCATCCCTTGCTACTCCCTTGATGGGGACAATGTCCGTCATGGCCTTAACAAGAACCTTGGATTCTCTCCTGGTGACAGAGAAGAAAACATCCGCCGGATTGCCGAGGTGGCCAAGCTGTTTGCCGATGCTGGTCTGGTCTGCATCACCAGCTTCATTTCTCCTTTCTCGAAGGTGAAAGCATCTGACATTGCACACGATTCTTACACACACAGTCTGCTCCAAATTACCAGGAGAAGGAGTCAGGTAGAAAGCAACCTAAAGGAATGCTACAGTTTTGAGTTACCCCAGCATTTCTTTCTTCCCTCACTTGATCCCTTGTTTTCTCTACTTAATATTGGTTTTATGTAAAAAAAAGTTTCCAGAGGCCAAGAGACCAGTTGGCATAAACCTTCCCAGTTCCCAGGTATAAGTTACACTTGGCTAGAGCAGAAAGGAGTTAAACAAGAAAAATTCCAATGTTCTGTCATTTCTTTAAAGTCAGGATGCTTATGCTTAGCTTAGCAATAAAAAAAAAAAAAAAAAGAGGCAGATCATTGCCAAGCCATCCGCTTATTTGTATTTAATGTTGAAATCACCAAAGTGGAGTGTCACTTTTCTAGTTTTTAAAACAGCAAGTTTCTCTGAGCTACAAATAAGACACCATGTGTCTTGGACATATCCTTTGAATGAGATGTTCTCCTATTGCCAGCCCTGTCCTTTAATAGAGATTCTGTACCATAATTTTCCCTAAAGTCCTCAAGAAAGGCTGTTTATTAGAATGAAATTTCTGGACTTACTCTAAAGGACTAGTTTCTTGCAACCTCTGCAGAACACAAACCCCAGTGTTAATACAAGGTTGTGGAATACCAGAAATCTCTGGATGGTGTCACTAATATGTGTAATATAAAGTAATTAAATTATAGTCCGCTGAAGAGAAGCAGAAAAACTAACCCTTGATGGCTGACTGGAGAATTGAGAGGGGGGATGGAAGAGGAAAAAGAAGAGGGAAGGAGGTATAATGGTCTGTGATGGTGGAGTAGGGGTGACTTTGGTGGGTGCACCATGGTGGTAATACCTGATGGGGATACTCCAATATAACCTCAGTTAAAAAAATAAATAATTAATTTCTAAAAATTAAAAGGAAAAAGAATTCTATGGTGAAACCTCTTCTTACAGTCTTTTATTTTTTTTTAAGATTTATTTATTCATACAGAACTGGGGTACATGCCAGAGATACAGAGGGTGAGAGGATTCACCAGAGACAGAGCAGGGAGCAGAACAGGCAGATGGACAAGTACACTGCTGAGGGGAGCAGCGGGCGGGTCAGGAGAGGTCTGCCGAGCCATGTGGTCACCTCAGGGGCAGGCGGGGATAGAACTCATGCAGAAGTGGCTTAAGCTTCTTAGTGCTGTGCTTTAACCTGCTGTGCCACCAGGGAGGGCCTCAGTCTTTTATTTTTTAACATCACTCTTCATTTTGTACATTTTTCATCTCAGTTGTAATCCCCCTGGGCTTCCCACCACCAATTCACCCGCGTGCAATCACCACAGTCAAGTGCACTCTTCTCACCCCAGCTCAGATTCCTTTCTCCCTTCCACCCCCATAAAATGTCTCTGGTTTATACCTGTTCATTGTTTTCATTTTCACTCGATAACACTTATTTCTCTCTTCCCCTCTTCCCTCCCCCACTCCCATCCCTTCCACTTCTGCTATGAGTGAAACCATCCGGTATTTTTCTTTTTCTTTTTGGCTTATTTTACTAAGCATGATCCCTTCTAGTCTTCTTACATTCTTAACACAAATTTTTCCAGGATCGAGCGAATGCCCGCAAAATCCATGAATCAGCCGGACTGCCATTCTTTGAAATATTTGTAGATGCGCCACTAAACATTTGTGAAAGCAGAGATGTGAAAGGTCTCTACAAAAAGGCCCGAGCTGGAGAGATCAAAGGTAGGATATCATGCTCAGTGGAACCTCTGCCAGTCTTTTTTACTGCTTACTCTTCTTAGTCTGTCACCAGAAATCTTTCTGAAATTTCCAATCTGTTTTCCAAAATTACATAGGTATACACACCTTTTTAATGAATCATAATATAATCAATAGGCCCATGGCTTATGAAAATAAGTCATGGCTTATTTTGAAATAATGAAAATATGGCTTATGAAAACATGGGCATGTATTTGCCATGAACTGATACTTCAGTCATAAGCAATAAAGTTTGCAGAACAAAAATGGATAAAGTGCATGTGTGGGTTTAGGGGGAATATTTCAGAGTTTTCCTTCTTCATATCTTTTATGAGTCAAAACAGCTGCAGAGGACTTGACCTTAGCTTGTCAGATTTTGTTGATAATTTGGGACTTTTGATACTGAGAATTCAGCTCTACATTTCCTAACCTATGATGGAGATCGTAGGTAGAACTTTTCTGTAATTGATATAATCTGAATCTTCTGTTTAACACATTATTCTGAGTTTACTCCATATGTTATGCAAATTAATGAAAAGATTGTTCCATCAGGGGAAGTTGTGATTTTCATCCTTCTGCCTTGCAGGATTTACCGGTATTGATTCTGATTATGAGAAACCTGAAACTCCAGAGCTTGTGCTTAAAACCAACTTGTCCTCTGTGAATGACTGTGTCCAACAAGTAGTGGAACTTCTACAAGAACAGGTGGGTAGACCATTTGTCATTTTGTTTATTTATTTTTGAAAGATTTATTGACTTATGCAGATAACAACTGGGGTACTTGCAGAGGTGGGGGGTGAGAGGATCCACCAGAGACAGGGTGGGGAGCAGAACAGGAAAATCTGAAATACAATGCTGAGGGGAGCAGCAGATGAGACAGAAGAGGTCTGCTGTGCCATTGGGTAGCTCCCTGATGGGGGGATAGAACTCGTGCTGCAGTGTCTGCAGATAGCTTCAGAGTTCTATGCTTTAGCCCCTTGCACGACCAGAGAGGCTCTATTTTTTTTTTTCACACAGTCATGTAAAATCATCTGTTTTCTAAAGCATTATTTTTAGAATTTTCACTTGTATTTATTACCCATTCTGTTTCATTTCAGAACATTGTCCCCCATACCGTAATCAAGGGCATCCATGAACTCTTTGTGCCGGAAAACAAACTCAGTCAAGTTCGAGCTGAGGCTGAAACTCTCCCTGCATTAGCAATTACTCAGGTAAGAGAATTAGACTCAATATCAATCATTATAATCCATTGACAGTTGCTCTTAATAATAAGAAAGGGGTAAGTAAGAGAGATGCAATATCCATACTTCGTTTTTGCCAATCTTTTTAATCCTCTTCTGCCAGCAAATCTGTTACCAAGAGATCAACACCATTACAGAGGCAGATCAGGAAGGTAATTTACACAGGACCATTTCACATCATTGTCATATCTTCAATGATGCCAGAGAACAGGCATCGGGCAGGATTACTTGTTGGCAGTTGCTGAGAACTCAGGCTGTGTTCAGAATGCAAGAGGTTTTTGGAAAATCAGAAGGAATTTGAAGACAACTGAAAGCAACCCTGATCTAAAGTGACATGACGCCTCAGTATTTTGCTACTCTGAAAATCCTACTCATCCTTCAATGGGGAGAGTCCAATCTGAGAACAGTTTGTTTGCATTAAGTTTACTGCCTTGAAGATATACGGTACAATGCCAGTCACTGCCTTTCACATGCTCTTGCCTTTTTATGGGTCAATATTCCTTAATCTAATATAGGGTGGATTGTGTCCTCATTGGTAGTGGTTTTGTCTTCCATTCAAACCTTGAACATTTTGTAATAATAATAATGAGCAACCATATACCAGAGACATTTTATGAGGGTGGAGTGGGGAATGGGATCAGAAATGGGAGGGGGGAATTGGACAGGACTGTGATGATGGCACACGGGGTGATTTGGTGATGGAAAGTCCATGGGGATTGCAACTGAGATGGAAAAAGGCACAAAGTGATGTAAAAATAAACTCTTGTATTAAAATTTAAAAATATATATATATTTGGATCAAGAAGATGGGGTGTGTGTGTGTGTATATGTATGCACACATACATACACACACACACACACATTGGACTACTCCTCAGGAATCAAGAAAGATAATTTCATGCCACTTATGCAACATGGATGGAGCTGGAAGGGATTTTGCTAAGCGAAATAAGTCAGAAGGGAAAATAAAAGTATGAGATGGTTTTACTTACCTATGGAATATGTAAGTAGAGACTCAAGCAGAGGGTCAGGGAAAAGACAAAACTTGCAAGCTGAACATAGATCCCCTGGCAAGCGAGGGGAGGAAGAGCCAAAACACACCAGGGGAGGAAAGCGCACAGGGACTGTGTGATAGATCAGGGTGCGGTGTGATGGGAGAAATAAATACTGTACGAAAATCAAATAAATAAATTTAATAAAATAAACCTTTGGATTTTTTTATAAGAGGCAAATTGGCAACCTGCTTTAGCTTATGAAGACTCTAGACTAATACATCATGACACTTGTAAATGGAATTCTATGTCTCTACGAAATAAATTCTGAATCCTCCAATGCTTTAGGTAGAAGAGAAACACATAATTGTTATAGTTACAGTGCAGAATGATTGCTCTAATAACAAAATGGTCTTAAGCTACAAAAGAACTTCAAAGAACTTAGTGACTAGTTCTTTTGGCCTTAGAGAGGCAGGAAAGCTTTCAGAGCAGTGATTCATGAGGTGGGTTTTAAAGGATGAGTAGGAGTTTTCAGGTGCAGAGGAGGGTAAGTCTGAAAACACATGCATGTTAGATTGTGTATTATTGTTCTCAAATAGCCTTGTTCTCAAATAGCCTGCATGTGGTGAATAGGCAGAGGCACAATTCTCTACTTGAACTTGAGGGGCAAAAATTTGAAGGGCTTTGAGGATCATACTAAAAATTTTGGACTTTTTAGCTTAGAGTCAAAGATTTTGTCTCATTCAGTTAAATAACTAGTGCATTTAGTGAAAATGGACAAAATAAACAGTGCATTTTCCAACCCAATTGCACATCATAAGGATATACATATATAGCCTATAGCATTCAAATAAATCATCTCAGTGGAAAACTTTTCACCACTCTCCTGTAGGAAAGTGAGGCTGTATGAGAGATGGGAACTCTTTTTTTTTTTTTAAAGATTTTATTTATTTATGCATAGGAGATCTGGGTTACAGGCAAGAGATGCAAGGGTGAGAGGATTCACCAGAGGCAGAGGTAGATGGACTGAAATACACTGCTGAGGGGAGAAGCAGGGGAGACAGGAGAGGTCTGCTGCACCATGTGTGTCACCTCTCTGATTGGGGATCGAACTCATGCTATATTGGCTGTGGGTAGCCTCACAGTGCTTCACTTTAACCCTTGCACCACCAGGGAGAGCCCAAGATGAGAACTCTTACAACATAAACGGTTCTACTTTCTTTCTCCTGTCAACTGAATAAGAACAGCCTGCCCCAGGGTCAGTTGGCTACATTCAGAGCTCATAGAAATGTTCAACTGCTTTTTGTGTCTTGCAGCTGGATCTTCAGTGGGTCCAAGTTTTGAGTGAAGGCTGGGCCACTCCACTCAAAGGTTTTATGCGGGAGAAGGAGTACCTGCAGGTTATACACTTTGACACCCTGCTAGATGGTATGGTGGTTTTTGGTTTCTTACTCTTTGCTATTAAAAAAAAAGAATATTTCCCAGAAATCATCACAGAAACAAGAAATATTTCTCCTGGCTTGGTTGATCTTGTGCAAATATTTAGATCTTTTATGGGGTCCAATTTTATTCCATATTGGCTTTTATTTTTAGGATTTTTTTTTTTTGGTTGTTCCTCAAAAGGGTTATTGATTACTTAAAACTGAGGCATTGGAATATAAAGGTGTTACTTGTCCAAGCTGAGAGAAGGCCAAGTCTGTTTCACCTCTGCTGTGCCCTTCACTGGCCCTGATTCAGAAACAACAGTTGGTCAGAAGTAACATTATAAGTGCTAGACTCAAGCCACAGTGGCTGGGACCAATCCAGCCTGTTGCAGACCTGCAGGGCCCCTCCCACTCTCCAGGGTCTCTGTGTCAAAAATTGTTTCATAGCTGCTGTCCTTGGGGGATGCTCCATTGTCAAGAGGCACACCTCTGCGTGAAATATATTTGGAGGTTCCATCCACAAAACTCTAATAGGGTAGTATGAAGGCAGTTTTCTGGACCGAATGGCTTTTAGAGAATTGATGAAAGCCTGTGTTTTCAGAAAACTTCCAGGCTCTTCTATGATCACTTTCTTCTTAGAGCTGTCTGAATTTAGCAAATGAAATTCATCTCTTTTAAGACCAAGAAGGAAAGTTCAGTGCAGAATGTCAATGGTACCATCACATTGAATTTATAATATTGAGCAGGGCTCCAAACCTTTCAGAAAGAAAATAAAATCAGATGACCTTCCTTGGGAAAGTTGTTCATGTTCTAAACCTGTTCTTTCCAAGTTCTTGTGGCAATTCTTATATGATGTGTTTCCTGTAGTCTACAGTAAGGCCCATGGTGACACACACTGGCCATGTCAATCTATGTCACTCTTTGTACCCACAGAGATGCAGATCCTGCCTATTTACTCCCGCCACAGAAGTTCTCATACCTATAGACCTGTGTAACTCATGGACTCTCTCAAGAGAGCATGAGACTGTTCTCTGCCCCTCAGCTAACCTTAGTCAGGGACTCTCTAGCAGGTTCCATGAATGCTACATTCTTAGAAGATTGAGTGGAATAACTCCTGTAGTCATGTACATCCTTTCACCAGTGTAGCTACTCGGGAGTGGGAGAGTTCAGTCTCAAGCTGGTTTCATAATCCCTGTCCCTCTCCAACCTGCAAGGTCTGTTCCTCACACTTTGCATGACTGCCCTGGGGATTCTCTGCTGGCCCTACCACCTGAACACTGTAACCAGGGTCTGCTGGATATGCAACCCCAGTTGTAGTTAGGACTAAAAGTTAGGACTATAGAAATCCCTATATAATTCACTCAGTCAAAGCAGGTATCAGGAATTTACATGCCGTCTACCTCTAGCTGTAACTAGGAAGAGGTAGAAAATCAGAGTGAGTAGAAAATAAATTACAGAGTCAAACTGTCTGGGTTTATATGCCAGTGATAGCCTATGAACTTGGGGAAAAGTACTTAAATTCTCTCATTTCCCTAATCTGTAAAATGGGGATGTTAATAATTGTACCTACCTTGTTGGGATGTTGAAAATTTAAAAGAAGCTTTGGTCCTATGGTAACTTCACCATGGATAAACAAGAGAACTTGAAATCTTTAGAAATTGTTTGATTTAGATATAATTGATATACAATGTAATAGTAATTTCAGATCTATCACATAATAATGTGGTATTTGTATACCACTGTAGTGGTGTATAGTATACCACTATACTAACTGTAATTCTAGTTAACATCCATTGTGACACATAGTTACCGTTCTTATCCATGTGGTGAAAACATTTAAGATTTACTGTCTTAGCAGCTTTCTATTATATAATACAATATTGTTGACTCTAGTTCCCATGCTTTACATTACATTCCTATGATTTACTGATTTTATAATAGTTGGGATTTTGTGCTTTTTCACACCCTTCACCTATTTCACAATCCTGTGGCTTCCAAGTACTAGAAGTCTTTAAGAGACTTAGTTATGTGACCACGGTCACATCAGTTCGGAAGAAGCACAGAAAAGATGTTCACCATCCAACTAACAAATATTTATTGAGTGCCCCATATGCCGTTATAACTGCTACACAGAGGTATTACAGACAGATCTCGGCTCCTTGGAACAGGCAGTGCAATTCCTCTTCTAGACCCCCAGTCCAGTGGGTTCTTTCTGCAACATCACTGATTGTCAAGCTTTCTTTTTTTTTTTTTCAGTCAGACTTTCTTTTTTAAGTCAGAAAACCCTATTTCAGGGAAATCTGAGGTAATACATTTACACAACAGATTAAATAGGAGCTGTTCCTGCAGAAGGAGCTGGCTCTGCCTCTCTCCTGCTTGGACAGCAGCTCTGAAGATGCTAAAAGAGGCCAAGAAACACTCTGCCCTCTATGTACCTGGCAGGTTTGTGGCAGCGCTTGGCTTGAGTGAAGACTTGTGGGTTGAGTAAGCAGCGTAAAATCCTAAAAAGTGATTTGTTCATATATCAGATAGCTAGGCTATATGTCAGCCACATAGATATCATTAAATGCATTCGTTAAAATTTGAGTCACCACCATTGAAGACTTGAAATAATTTCTGCAGTCACAAACATGTGGCCATTTTCATGCACCAACAAACAATTGCACATTGTTTAATCACTTACAATCTGCAGGTAGTATTATTTTTTATTCCAACCATGTCATCTCAAAACATTTTACTGGTTTTAATTTTCTTAAATGTTCTTATTTCCCCCTAAATCAAAAATAATCAACTCCATCCAAAATAACTTTCCAGAATTAGAGGAGCTATTGCCATGTAACTTTTTAAAATCAGATAATCAAGTGAATAAAGCCTTTGAACAATATTCAATAGCATTAAAAAGTAGTCAATAAAAATTTTAGTTTTACCAACTTTTTGCCATCAGATGGAGTCTCTATTTGTTTTGTTTTATTTTGTTTTAAACCAGAACTAAGAGCTTAGAATATTTATATGTTATGTGTTTGTGTTGCTTTAAGATTATTTTGCTGGAGAGCTGAAAACATGTTTCTTAATTGTGTTTGTATTTCTCTAGGCATGGCCCTTCCTGGTATGTACTCTAACTTTCCAAGTAGCTAAGTTATTGGGATTAGTTACATTACACTAGAAATGTAAAAACTTAACAAAAAAATTCAAATGAACTAGCAGATATTGCTATCAGTTCATGATCCAACCAGTTATAATAGAATAATACAGTAGTCACCCCCCTTATCTGTGGGGTATACATTTTAAGTGGATGACTAAAACCCATCTATACTAATTTTTGTCTTATGAATATACATGTATGATAAATTTTAATTTATGAGCAGCCAAAGTAAGAGACTAACAACAATACCTAATAATAAGAACAATTATAACAATATGCTGTAAAATAAAGGTTATGTAAATATGGTCTCTTTCTCAAAATACCTTATAGTACATAATATTTTTTGAAAGCAATTGTCTGGGTAACTGGAAGAAGTGGGCGGGGGGGTGGCTACTGTATTTCTGTTAATTTGAGTATAAATAATAAAAAATTTCTCAGTCAAATGAAGCTGTTGTTTATACTGTTGTATTTGGTTAACAAAAGTTTGGTTAAATTTGTTTCTAAATAATTGTTGAGGTTTATTCCTGATATTTTTTTTAAATGTGATGCTCTCTGCTAATTATTTCTACTGAGTAATAGCCTTCATTTATTTTCATAAACCTAGAAATCTTTATTGCATTTATGCAACATATTTAATTATTTAAGGATAAGCAATTTTAGATGCAGTTTAAAGTGGATGCACCTGGTTGGATTGTGGGTGATTGTACTTTGTTTGAGAAGTCTGATTATGCATGAATTTAATTTCCAACTATGATGATTGATAGTTGTAGAATGGGCAGTAAACATACTTGCTGTGTCTATAAACTTCTGCATTATTCTGCACCAGACTACAAAGGTAAAATTCTGAAAATATATTGTATTGGTATCATTTTCCTTAAAAAAAATTAAAAAGCCTAGTTAAGCAATGAAAAGGAATTTAGTTTTAATGAAGAAACAGTCCAGGCAACTGATGGGAAGATGTATAAGGTTAAATTAAACAAGAGGCTTGAAAATTATTCAAAAACAATTATGCAATAAGATGGAGCTACGTGTTGAACTAGCCATGGCTAAAACACACAATCCTCTTTTCCAAAGTGAAATATACTGCAATGGAATAATCAAGATGATTCCCCTGGGAAGCTGAAGCCCTTCTTTGGAAAAGACTGAAAGTTTAAGTCCATGTTTAAAGCCTTAGAGAAAGTGTCAACACAGAGTTAATTTGTTGGATAAGGCTAGGTATTAGAACAGTTGATTGAAATGATAGGGAAACTGCCTTCAGTCTGCTGTACTGTGTGGCACTTGTAGCTAAGGAGCTCAGTGGGCATCATTAGCAGCTAGCAGGTTTCTTATCTCCCACCTGCTAGGGAGGGCTGTTTCCACAGTCCAGATTTTCATTTTGGGCCAAGATGAAGGTAGGGCAGAGGCTTCATTGGCCAGGAACCTACTGACTCAAGGGAGGTGATCGCAATAGGAAAGTGAAGTATTCCTTGGAGTCCACCCAGAAAAATCAATGGAAGACAGCGCCACAAACCTTGTGCAGACAGATCTAGTCTTCCTCCAGCATCCCATCCAGTCTGTGCTTTACATTTTTTTCCTTTAGGTTGGTCAACCCCTCTTATAAGCAGAGTCAAATATTATGGTCTTTTAGCTTTGTTTTGGTAATCCAAAATTCCCAGAAACATGATTTCTAATTAAATTAGACAACCAGCATCTTGGAACGTGGTAATTTTTGTTAGTCTCTCGCCCTTTTTCTCAAGTAGACTATGTGGTGGGTTAATTGTCTTTCATCATCAGTCTTGATTGTCTGCTCCCTCCCAGCACTCCAGGGCTATATAGATTGTGTGTTTTACTACCCATTTTTCAAGTGGGGAAACTGAGCACAGGAGAATATCAGACTGAGTTCAGCATTCTCTGCCCAGGGCTTGGATTGCTCTTACTAACCCATGAACTTTGCAACACCCGAGTTATTTGAATGACAAAATCAACACTTTCCAGGCATAGTGTCCTATGTGTGATTTAGAAGGGATCCCAGAATGGGTTGTAGGGTTTTATGATGAATAGGATTTCCTTATTGCCAATGTTTGCTGTCTACATCCTGTGATATTATTCAGGTCCCAATAACTTTTTGAGAATACTTAAAAGGGCAATGCAGTAGGCTGCAGAGTCTGGCTTCATAGCTACTAAAGGAATTCTTATGACCCAAAGGAATAGAACTCGGATCTCAAATATTTAACTACTGGAGGCATTCCAGTGCTGGATCTTGAAAGTTAGATTTAAAAAAACTTCCTAATCTGTGGCCCTCCCTGGTGGTGCAGCGGGTTAAAGCACAGCACT